CCACATCTCTCCTCACCCTCAGCTGAGGAGGCTGCAGAACCCTGATGGACCCAAGATGACTGCAGCCCAGCACAGTAGCTGCAGAGGTATTACACTTCCTTAGAGCTGCTGGCTTCCAGGGGCTGAACTCTGTTCTGGCCTGTTCACTACATGAATCCAAAAGAAGCTGTTAACAACAGTTTGCTTCAGATTCACTCTTCAATTGCAAGTGAAAGTTTCTTCTCTTTCTAAAACCTCTTACTGCTAATAATGCCCTTTCCACTTATTGATAGTGAATTTAGGAAGACTAAAAAAATCTGGTGATTAATGGGAGGAGATGTCAAGCAAAAGAAGGGTTGGGAATCAGGTTTTTTTTTGTTTTTTTCATCACTCTGTGAAAAGCAACGGTGCTTTCCTTTGGGCACATCACCTAGTCCAAAACTGTCAAGACTGTTCATTAACCCAGGAAAACAAAGACTCTGGGAGGAAGGAATGCTTAGCATCCCTGAAAAATGGGATAAAATGAGGAGAATCATCATGTCTGCCTTGCTTCCCTGCTTCAGTAAATAAAGTGCCTCTCCCATTCATTGTGCTTGCTCATAAACTCAGAGAAAAATAATGTTTTTCTCTACTGAGCTTGACTTCTTCATTTTGGCAGGCATGGTAATTGATGGTTTGTGATCCTCTAAGCCTTTTTTTTAACTGAAGACCAAAAGAAATGCAGCTTTTTCATATACTGTTACTTCACAAGAGAGTGTTTTCGTAGAAAATGCAAACAGAAATGGAATTTGGTGGCACAAAAGGGAGGGGGAGAAAAACTTTCTCATAGTAAATGTTCTCCCTCTCAGCTTCAACTGCTCCAGTAAGTTACTGAGTCACTAAGACCAGAAAGAATGATGGTAAGGAAATATTCTAACTTTTTTTTTTTTTTAAATTACATCTGCTGAGTACTTATTCAGGAATCTTACACTCTTATTACACAAGAGCTATGCTGTTATTCTACTGCCTAATCAGGTTAACTTAATATGGTTTTTACAAAGTGATCTTCATAACTGTGCAACACAGCCTTCTTCCTCTCTTTCATCACAATATTAAACAATCCTTCATCTCCTCTTTTTTCCCTGTATGAAATTACATTATTTCCCACCCTCCAAGCAAGAACGTTGTATTACTTGCTATTTAGAAAAAAAACACGCTATATTTCCATTGAGCATGCTTCCAATTTTTGGCAAGTGAGCTACAAACATCTGAAATAGTACTATTATGAGTGATCTTCTAATCCCTAAGCAAAATGCAAGTTGTAAACTTACAACTCCACCAGCAAGGAAAGATTCAACTGGCGTAAACCCAAAATAAATAGAAATATTGATTGACATTCCCATTCTACCATGATTGTGCTAAACTCAGGAAAGAAAACACAGTTTATACTCGATATGCTGATGTCCCCAGGAATTTCTTCCAACAGAAGCCAAAACATGAGGCAAAATGCAAAAATTTTGTCTATAGCAACATTTTAAAAAAGCATCCAGCTTTTGTTAGAGAGCTAACCTTTACTGGAATTTACTGCCTTTTGCTGGTTTGCATCAACACTTGCATACAGAAAATGAAATGTTACAGACTGAAGAAAATGCAAATGTTTTGGCCTTTTGCCAGAATTTCTGCATTTATTTCAATAAGGTAAAACAACCTAAAAAAATTGTTTTTTGGAAAAGAACTTCCAGCCTATCAAATCCATGTTTGCTACATTTTTGTTAGTTTTACAGCAGTGGCATCAAGCAGATCATATTTTCCTGGACAGATAGACCTAGAATTATGGAGATCAGCCATCAGAAGTTCCCCATATTAAATGATCAGGTTTTCAAAACTGCACAGGTCCCATCAGAGTTCTTACAACAGTCAGTATGAATTTCAAAAGTGTTCAGTAATGGGGAGGAATTTTCAAACCTCTCTGGGTAATTCAGATGCATTAGTCTCATTGAAAGTTAACGAGCCATGTGCTGCTCAGGCTTTTAGGTGCTTTGCAGAAAACACACGTTATGACTGGTATCCATGGTGAAGGTCTTGGGCATTTTTAAAATTTGATCTGATGTTGTTTATGCTAAATTCAGGTCTCAGCTACAGATGTGTAGCTTCTCCTTATGGTATATTTATCTGTCCAGTGAAGCAATAGCTCCCCTTGCTCTGCTCTTTTGAAAGTCTGTCAACACAGAGCATCTGAATGCAGCTGTGCAAAGAGCTGCATATCCTGGCCTCTAGCCCCTAACACAGTCCCAATCCTCCATGCAGCTAAGCTGTGTGAAGCCTACTGCTGACAAGTTCTGCTGCATGTTGTATAGAAAGGAATAATCCACGTGGCTGAGAGAGTTACTGAGTAACCATAGTCACTGCACTAGGATGTCAACTCTGGTACCTAACTGTAAACACAGAGTGAGTGAAACTCTTAAGTGTTTCCCTAGTTATCTATGCATCCCATCATTCCAGATGCTAGAAGAGTAAAAGTGGCACAGAATATTTTCCTCTTTACCATAGTACCATTCTGAAATAATTTTTAAAAGATTAATAAGGTGACACCACTTAAGGACTAATTAAGGAAAGGTTTAATAGATTACTGAAAAAAAAAAAAGTGAGCGAGCAAACCTCGTGATTTACAATGCCTGTGTGACACTCAGTGTTCCCTTAGCACTGACAAACACATTAGGATGTCAGGAGAGAATCATTCAGCTTTGCTTCCCATTAAATCTGATCTTAGAGTAATCGACTCAATCAGAATTATCTTCCAAGGACATTATATTACAGTTGAAAGAGAAAGGTACCTCTATATTTTATATTATGAATACGGAAAATAAAATTGAGAAGCAAAACAAAGCTGTGATTAAAACCCACAACAGGTATTCCTTTCTTAAGGCTGAAAGGAATGTGAGGTCCGCTTTCATATGAATTGCTGACTTCATGCAGGTTCAGCACCACAGAGGGTTTACCAGGAGCCAGTGGCAATAAGCGTACATAGCCTAAAGGAAAGGAAAAAAGGTTCACCCCTCATGGCAAAGGTCAGATTTCTGCAGGCTTATAGCCTGTCCATATACATGAGTGTTCGTGGGACATCTTTGTCTAGTAAGGTCCCATGAGGATGACACAGGCTCCACAATGTCCCCTCTGCCTGGAGGATGGCCCTATAACCACCCAGATCAGTTTAGGGTCATTTGACTTGTGTCACTCTGGTTCCTGTTGCTTTTACTCTCAACCTGATGAACAATGATTGGAACCTTTGTGGGGATGTTGCTGAAGGCTGGAATTAAACAATTCTGATACAGGGAGAGACTGGACATGTAAACAGGATATTTAACAGTTGCTATTTTCATGGATGCAGAGAGCTATCAATTATACTCCCTTGCTAACATACAACATGCTGTACACTTCATTTATATTTGCTTATCAGAATCACTATGCAAATGTCATAGAAATGGTTATGCTAATGATTATATTAGTATTTGTCTATTTATTCTGTAGATGTCTTTTCAGAGAGTCATCATGTCCTTTGTTCAGTTTTGGAACTGATGCACTGCATACCCAAATATTTGGAATAACATATAGAAAACATCTGGATTTAATTATATTATAGTCCTCTTATGCAGACAATGGGAATTGAATTAAGGAATATTTTGAAACCCCCACAGAGATATAAAAGTATTAGCAGCTGCATGAGAACTTTACTGTTACAATGTTTAAAAATGTTTTGTTTTACAGATCAACAGTCTGACACATCATAAATATAAATCATAACATTTAAGATACATAAACACAGAAGAAAAATTAAAACGTGCATTTCAAAAATATTTAGATGAATTCACAGCACTTAGAAGACATTGAGTGTATCCTTTTGTTTAAAAAATGAAAATATGTAGTCTATTGGCACAGAAAAATATATGTTGTACAGTGGCATTAAGCAAAGAACCACATAAGGGCTTATTGTGACTGAATAGCCTGAACAAGATTTTATAGAATCTTGTTATATTGCTACCATATTGTACAAAGATCACATTAAGTAATTCAGCTAGAAAAAATTAGCATTTTGCTTTTTATGCTTTCATTCCTTTGAAAATATTTGGGGATATGATATGGGCTTAGGGAGTCCACCCCAAAGTATTAGACACAGAGTGGATTTTCTTTCTGAATGCACACTGGTTCCAAATGCCACTTCTTTTCAAGTCAGTACCAGTTTTGCAGTTAGTTTTCAATCTCCCAGTGGCTAAATCACATTCAAAGGCTGTTAGCACAGTAGGGGGTCAGACTTTCTCTCTGAATGTAACTATATCACTCAACAGCAGACTCATGCAATAAGCTATCTAATGTTTTCGTTTCTTTTTTTTTCCCCTTCTCTTAGTGTCTCCCTGCATTCCTGGATACCGGTCACTGCACCAAGGACCTGAGGCAACAGCCACATGGACTCCACCACCATCCTTCTAGCTTTCTTTATGGTGCAGAAAAAGTCAAGCCTACAGTTCACCTGCTGTCAAGACAAAAGATTCAGTTGCTAAACCCTTTGAAACATTCTGCAACGTTCAAATGAACATTTTTTCACACAATATTACACATTCCTATGTGTAAAAAGCACACACAAATGTGTGCGTGTGTATGCATGTGTATGCACATAGCCATACAATCTTCGGCAACAAAGTCACAAAATACCATGCAAAAGAGAAAGAGCTATTAAATACAGAAGTAATATTGAGGCAAAGAAAATAATGCCATAAAAGATCCGTGAAATGATGATCTGTTTAGAAACTAAATTTATCAGGACTGAAGCTTGCACTAGCTGTTAGCACTGGGAAACATCAACTCTTGATACCATGTGGTCAGTCTGACCTCATAAAGATGCAGTCAGGATCTTTGAACTTACCCATAGTAGCATCCTGAACAGGCTTTGTGGATTATGATATATGCCTTGCTGATGGACAGCCTGGTTAAAATAAAGGGTGGGAGAATTGCTGGGTAAGGGGCTTGAATGAACTACGCTAGCTCACCCGTCTTACGAAGTGGAAAATCATCCTTGGCATCCTGTGCTCCTGGTAAAGTGTATTTGTACGGTGGTGAGGCACCGCTCAGGGGTGGAGAGCTTTGATCCAATGAGGTATGGTGGGCAGCCCTGCAGCAGAAACAGAGGTGTCACAAATTAGCAGTCACTGAGATGACCAGCACTAACTATCTGCACGTCGTACACATGTCAGCTGTGTTTATGTTCTTGTTCCTCTAACTGTGCACTAACCACAGGCTCATGTAACCAAATTCACTTTTACAGTAAGTTATGGAACTTCTCGGGATTCCCAAGAACACGCTTTTTTGCACTCATTCTAAAAGTCACATAGGATAAGAGTCATGTTGACCTACAGACAGGATCTGTCACCAGTTTGGGGAACTGACCATTTTAGATTGTTGCACTTTAATATGAACCAGCTGAGGCACAGCAGAAGCCATTTAAGTCTTGTTTATTACATACAAATAGATGTACATTGATCCAGCCTCTTCTATCAAAATGTGGGTGATTTTCAGGGCAGGGTGGCTTGTATAAAACTAACCAGAATTATTGAGTTATCTGTTGAAAAAAAAACAACAAACCCAAACTATTTAGTGGATAAGCTAGATAAAACCTTGCATTTAAGTTCAACTTGTAAATTTTGTGAGCACACCACTCTGCAGCACGTAGCACTCACATCAGCAGAGAAGCTCCAAGCTGAAGAGTGCTTTCTGACAACTGCTGGATGAAAGAAATAGTGTGGGCAGATCCTTCCAAACGTGGAAACTGCAAATTGCAAAGAAATTGCATCACTTGGCCCACTGATAGGATTTTTTTTTTGTTGGTTGATTTTTCTGTTTAGAGGGGAGAGAGGGAAAGAAGGGAAACTTTCAAACTTTGAGTTTACGAAATGTAATTTTACTTGTCTTTTTACAGAGTGTCTCCCTATCCTTCCAATGTAGTGTGGTTAATCAATAATACATCTCTGCCAATGAGGGGCACTACCATGCAAGAATGTACTACTTTCCTAGTACAGCAGAAGACATTCCTCTGCAGAGCTCCTCATTCTCTCTCATCTGAAGACTCTGAACTAAACTCAGATTATTAGTCCAGAAATCTTACATACTTAAGAGAATTTTACACATTATTTGGAAAAAAATAAATTAAGTACTGTATCTCCACTAGAAACAATGTAAGTATATATTAAATAATGTTACCACAATGCTCTGATTAGCTCAGAATGGAAACTTCAAGGGCATGGCTTCAGTAATTCTTTTTAAAAAGAACAAGTACTACATGGAAACCTAGTGTACCATATGCATTTCTGTTTGTCCTATTGAAGGTCAATTCGGGCACAGCATTTAAATCTTTCAGAACTGCAGCCAGACTTCATTTTCTTTGATAGATTTGTCTGTTGTAATAATGAAGTTAAAAGGAATTAATTAGTATTAAAAAAAGGGGATAAAAACTGTAAAAACTTTAAACTCTTAAGATGTTAATAGGCCCATTACAGGAATCAACAAAATCACTTGTTTCAATTGTCTAAGCAGATTCTTATCAAAGCCAAGCCATCCTAAGAATATGCAGTTTTGGACACTAAAATCCATCAGAATAAGAAAAGCTACATGACCACTATACTTCTCAAAATCCTTGTTACTTGCACCATTCAAGTAATTTCACTGAGAAGCAGGACCTCTTCAAGAAAAAACAAATTTTGTGATTGATTCAAAATCCAAGTAAATCAAACACAAAGTTGTTCTAACTGCAAAAACAGAAGAGACTCGGAAAAATGACAGGTATAGTTGTAAAATTTGTGATAGCATCAAGAGATGAATGAGTTGAAATAAAAGGTTTATATGAATTTGACAGCATCTTGTTCTGTATAGCTCTCATCACTGAACAGCAAGTACTCTACAGTTCCACCAGAAATATCACACTTCTGACTTTCTGCTAACTTCTTGGTTGAACTTCCATCTTGTTCTGGAGGCAGATTCACAATATCCCTGCTATAGAAGCATTCTGCCAAGTTTTAGCAGATACCTTGATGAGGCAAGGGAACAGCTTAATACTGAACATACGTGTACCAGAGCTTGGGGTGGCGACTCATGGAATGATTCTTCCCGTTTGCTGGAGAGTCTTTTGTTGCCGATTTACTCAACAGGAACTCTTGAAGTTTCTGCTTCACTTCTGTACTGGCCACTGCTCCTAAGACACAAAAAAATTAAACATATCTTATCTTTACGTAAAAAATTACATTTTTAAAGAAAGACGAAACCAAAATGCAAAAAAACCCGAGCACGTGTCTTGCTGCTGGAAGTGTTGTAAACTACAAATATATTGGTGGAAATCAGTCAAAATGAGATAACATTCAGATTAAATGTTTGCCTGTAGAAGACTGAAGTTGGCCATAACCCAGAGTTCCAGTGAAGTCATAGTGAATATTTCAACAATAGATGTGGCCATTTATCCAGGGCCAGATGTATCTAAATAATTTAAATGATTTCCTAACAATTCCCAAATACAAAATGAAGGATAGAACTAAAAAGATAGTGACAAAAGGTCACTTTGAGTTTGTGGTGAAGAATGTTTCCTCTTTTAGTAAAGTAGTAGTAACAGCACAGCAAAACTACTCTCTGAACACAGCCTTGGTTATGAACAGAACACAGCAGAAAGAGCCAGCAGTGAGCCTTTTTATTCCAGTCACTTAAGAGCCTGTATCTGTGATGTCTGGAAGACAGACCACAGCCTGAAACACGAGTCTTAGTTGGTAACTCCACTCTTATGACACAAAAACTACAGAAAGACCAAAACGTACAGAACTCACAGGGCATTTTGACTTCTCTTGGTGGCTAGCTCAATACTGCACAAGAAGTAGAGCATGTCAATGTCAGGTTAAACTGCCAATTCCTACTTCCAGCATGGGACATGCTTCTTTACTCATAGCCATAATACTCTTCATAAAAAAGAAAACCTTATTTCTGTTTTCCATAAACAGTTAAAAAAAATGGAAGAAAAAACATTTTTTTGAAAGCAGCAGCACTAAGGCATGCACTAACCAATACTCTAAGTATTTGGTTACACAACCCTGACACAGCACAGCTAGCTGGTGAGCATGTTCCCCTGTGACCCAGTTCCCATAAAATACCTCTACTATCCCTGAGCTTCAGACCCTAACTCCCCTCCCCACAGCTTCCTTCCCTTCTCTACTCATTAAATAGATCACGATTAGCAAATACTGGCGCAGGCCCGGGGGGTCACAATTGCTACTTGGCTGGCTGCTACATGCTGAACAGAAGGGAACCACTGAGTTCACATCACTGGACTTCCTTTGGTGGGAGCACTAATAAAGAACAACTGTTTATATGGAGGCTGATTTTTCATACCACTTATAGGAACCTTTTGTTCCTGCAGCTTCTGCCACCCTCTCCCTGCTGGGTCAGTAGGCTGGTGATGCTTGCATGGATTGATCATTCACTAAGTACTGGAAGCACTGTGGGCACCTTAATTTCTAAAGTCTACAATATGGTACAACTGTTGAACAGTTGATACATTTTTTCAACACAAGAAAAAAAGGCAGGACCGTAGGATCCCCATGAGCATAATGTACAGCTCTTCTCTGCTTTGCTCCTTGTCAGTTAACTCGTGCTCATTTAGTGGGGCAAGTAACACTATCTGCTCGTGGCAGCTTCATTTTGAATATCTTCACAATGTACTTCTGCAACCTGACTTTCTAAACTAATCTCACTAAGGAGAATTATTTGTATCTGTCTCCCTCTAGTGAGCACCAAATTCCAACAGTATCCTTTATATCTGTCATTTGCCTTAGCTCTATTTACAAGCTAGAAACAACTCCCGGTTGGGCCTCATGAAATAGCGTCAAGAATAAACATTAGGAAGTTTGAAAAAGTACCAGCAAAAGTATTCAGAAGTCTCAGCCAACGATATTCTCAAATATTTTGTTATATTTTCAGTCTTGAACCAATGCTCAAAGTAGTTAATCAGCAAGTAATTTGATTTTTTGCTGTTTTGTAGTGCTTTCTGTATTGGAAGATAAACTCTTCAGAGGGAAGTTCTCAAGTGAAACTTTAGTCTTTCAAATTCCCTCCTTTTTAAAAAAAAGAGATAGATTCTTGAGAGGCATATACACAGGTCTGTCACAATGTGCTTTCCTACTGTCCTCCAAGTCTGCACATAAACCAGCAACATGTTTCTGTGGGTGCAAGAGATGGCTCTGCCTTTCTGCAAGCACAGCCTTGACTCCTCTAGTTGCATATTTCACACAGTAATAGGCTTCCTTCAGAATCCACCTCAGCTGGGAGAAGGCAAAGGGGAATAGATTAATTTCTTACTAGGATTCATGGTACATTGGTTCTTACTTTCTCGGCCTCTTTCTTTTCCTCGGAGGGGAGGAAGCTGTTGTTCCCTGCGATGCCTCTCCAGTTCCTGCTCTTGTCTCTGCTGCTCCAGTTTCTGCTCTTTTTCAAGGAGTTCTTGCTGTTGTTTAATGGCTAGGAGTTCCTGTTGTAACTTGCACAGAACAAAAAGACATGAGAAAGTGCTGTTTGCACTGTTTTCTAGGTCAGTCCTGGCTAAAACAACCCACTTGAATAACTGAGTATCAGTGGTTGCTTTTGTGCTTATACTTCTTTCCACCATTTAACCAACTTTTCCCAGTCTTTTAAGCAGGATAGTACATTACTGTCTGTCACTTAAATAAACTCTAATGTCATGTAGCAGCCGTCACTCTGTTTTCACTTCTTTCTCTTTTGGCAAAAATGCCTGGAAACTTCACAGGGTTCTTTGCCAGTGCATCACCCAACTCTGGCTGCTGTGCTCCACTGCATCTGTCAGCTCCATCGAGCGGAAGCTTAGCACAGTAGCACAATGGCAAGTAGATCAGAAGGGAAAAAAGTGAAAGGAAAGGCAAGATCATAAATTCCGAGTCAAAATCCATTATAGCAATCCTACCATAGTGCATGTAATCCCATAAATCATTTTATTTTTACATTATATGAGGCAGCTCAGAGAAGAGTGAAAACACAACACTTTCAGGGCCTGCCTCCGTTTTACAAATGCAAATATTAGGCACTTGCCTATCAATTTGATTTGTGGGCACAAACTCAAACAGCAGCCCAAAAAAGCAGTCTTTTAATAGACTCTGCAAAACTGCACATACAGAAAAGACAGCCATATTGAAGTCTGGATGAAAACCTGGCTTTGTAAAATAGGTAGTTTGATTTTCTGTGGATGCGGTGGCTTCATGAGCTTGATGATTGTCATAGTACTGCCCTGGTCTGCTGTGAGCAACTCATTGTAGGTGCTACCAGTTTTCCTTGAAGAGTCTTTTATCACCCAAATACAGAGAAATAATCGTTCAAATGCCATCTCTCGGTCACAGAGAACCTTTCAGGCATATTCCCTTTTCATGTCTGCTAAGCATATTCAGTTTGCAGATAAAGTGAGGGATAAGTGAACAATTTTGCTACCTTTATGTGTTCCTGGAGCTGGGCCTGATGCTGGCGGGTCAGATTTTCGTGCTGCTTCTGAAACTCTGCAATCAGCAGTTGTTTCTGAATTTGCTGCTGCTGCTGGATCAGAAGTAGTTCCTGCTGTAGCTGCTTTTCACGCATAATTGGGTCTACCATGGGAACCATCATCCTGAGATCAGTTCGCAAGTCCAGTGGTGAGATAGGTTCCAATCCCACAGGAACCTCTGACTTTACATCCACTGCGGAAGGAAAACAACCAGACACATATATATAAAAATATATATAATATAATATAACTGGAGAAGGAGAATAGAGATCATTCCTACTGTGGAAAAGACCGATTTCACTCAAGGACTGCTTCAATGTATACACCTAACAAGGTACTAATGCAATCTATGCTGTATGCAAATTTCAGATACTCAGATAGCAACTTGAGATTTTACAAATTATTTTACCACTTTCTTTACATTCTCCGCAAAAATACTCCCAGATAAATATTCTGCTAAATAGACTAACAAGCAACCTAGTTCTAAAAGCCTGTCACAGCCTAATGGAGCAGTATTTAGTGAGAATCTCCTAGGCACTATTAATGCTTAACAATAAGCACCCAGGGCACTTCTTCAGTGTAAGATGAAGGCCTTCCAGTTCTCACTGTATTGCAAAAGATTTTCCAAAGCTAGTGTGTAGATTTTCTCAGGATGGTTTTACATATGAACAGCTACCCAATGCTACATAGTTACTGCATGTTAATATACCTGGCAAACACACAGGAATAACACAGAAAATTTCAGGAAAACAAACACACAAACCGAGAAGTTTTAATACAGCATTTTGAAAAGTGCCCACCCTGCTTGGAGTGGATTAGACATACATAAAACACTATATATGACTTGTAAGAAATTGAAAACATCTTGGTTTATTCTAATTTGTTGTAGTAATGGTATACATTGTTAAATCAGTACTAAAGCAGTTAATGAAGAATCCTGTGTTTTTCCATCTATTTAAATCAAAGGGACTAAAAAAAAGCAGAAGAGAGAGAGAGATCTGCTGATTTTCACTACAATACTTGTAAAGCTCAGGTTTCCATATTAATTGAAGAGACAGAGTGTAACTTCATATTTTTCAAAAGAACAAAAAAACTAGCAAGTAACGTTTCTACAGGAGGAAAATAAATAGTAGCAGAGGGTCTCTGCTCAAGCTCAGCAGTTCTGATTCCATCCACAAGAGGACAGCGGAACACAAACACATCCGCTCCTGTTCCTACTGCTCCTCTATCTTCATAGGAAAATAAGATTATAAACTGAAAACAAACATGCAGTCGGAAATTACTGCAGAACAAGATTTTCAGTATATTTCCTCCTTTTGCTCTGGGAGGGCTATATTTGTTTTCAAGGAGCAAACCAAAATGAAACAGAGAAATATTCTAGCAAGCAGGAGCAGTAAAGTTGATGCAGCAGAAGTTGAAACTGCAGCCAATGCACAGAACTGAATTCTAACTGTACAATAAAATCTATTAGAGAAAAGTTTTATAAAAAGAGACAAGGAAACAAGTCTCATCTACTGACTATATTATTTTCTTCTCAAAATTCTGGAAACATACAATTTTCTGGGACTTCTAAAAAAATGCTAGTAACAGTAACCCTCAGAACATAATTTGCCTCCTTAGTCTGTTATCTCAACAGAATGATTGTGTCTAAGTGCTTACTTTTGTTCTGAGACTAATCACTAAATTATAAAAAATCACCTTTAACTTACAAAAACTACTCTTGATTATAAATAATTGCTCCAGACCAAGAGAAACGGACAGGCAAACCCCCAGCCTTTCATCCCATTTATTCAGCAGCAATCCACATTCCATTTGTCTAGACTAAATATAGCCAGGTTTATACAAGAAATCAATAGTGCTTGCAGAGAGCAGAGCAAAGACATGAATATTTCATCAAACTAGGAGAGAAATGGCAATCACCAAATGACAGCAAACCGTGTAGGCTGACTGGCCCTTCAGATAAGTCTCTGGTACTTGGACAATGGCTCATTGGCTTGCAAGTCACAATCTTATCATTGGTGCTCTTCTATTTTTAACATTAATTAATCACTGTAGGTGACAAAGGCTTACCATGTTTAAAGTAGAGAGATGGATTTTCTAGAATCTTTTTTAACAGGAAAATAAGCCTTACTAGGAGCAATAATAGTAACGGGAGCTCAGCAAACCCTGCAAGGTCTGGTTCACAATAGTGTTTGCAAACCAACCCTGTAGGGTTTGGTTCACAATAGGGTTTGCAAACTGAACCCTGCAGTTTATTTTGCAGATACCAGCTACAAATCAACCCCTACAGGTCTGCATGGTGATCCAGGCTGATTATACTTCATATCTCTGACAAGCATCCCGCTTCTTCATTTTCAGCACGCATCTCATGAGGGGAGGCCTTCAGATTTTTCTAACAATGGTCATTTCCTTCCATGATAAGTAAAACGTACAACTGAAATCAGGCTCAGTTTGGTAAGATACACATTTTCAAGAATTTTCAGACACTCAAATAATAAATCTAGCACTGGAATATCTACTTCAACTTTATTTCATTCTTTAATGAGGGGGAAAATAAGCATTAAGGGAGTTCTGGAGACTTGAACCCATAGAAATTAATGCATAATCTTCCATGTCATTTAAATGCCAATGTTTACTGACAAATAAAGACAAGCAGTTATTTCCTGGTATAAATACTGCTAAAAGTAAGGTTACTGCCAATAACTGTTGACATAATGAATACTAACTTTTGGGGGTAATTACAGTCTTAAAACTGTAACAGCTAATAGCTGGAAAATAGTCAACCTTATCAACAAATTATTCTAAACCAGTAACTATAAAATCACCAACCAAACTGAATGGTTTGCTACTGTCTTTTAGGCAGTCCTAAAGCCACAAGCCACTTCCATTCTCGTTGTTACCAGATGACAAGAAAAGAGACAAAGCAGCCCTGTGGAGCTACATCAGTGTGAAAAATGTGTAATGGAGCAGACGATCAGAATCAGTGTCTTTAAAAGCTTTGACTTTTAGCTGAAGCATCTCCCCCCTCACCACCTCAACATAACTTTAAGTCTCAAAAGAGCAAAGATGATGCAGGATGTTTATTCTCATCGGGGTTTTTTATGTTTTTTCACCCCCTCTACCCGAGAATATATATATTTTTCAGGTAGAAAGGGAATGTCCTAATCAGTGCTCTCAACTTCCGAACATCACAAGAAGCAGTGGGATACAGGACTTTAACAACAGGATTCATCAAGATACTAGCCAAAGAAGGAAACGGAAGGAAAATGAAAGAAAATATTAATCAGAACTTGATAAAGGCTGTTTTCACTTTAAGGAGCCTTGTTTTGCAGGATTTCCAGTATCACCAGTGGATCAATGTTGTAGCAGGCACAATTCAGAGCGAGACCCTGCCCACATCCTCGCCACTGTGGAGATTCTTCCCAACAGCTCTGCCAGCTACAGAGCAAGCCTGGGAGTCCTCTCTAAGGTTAACTAAAGACAAACCCTCTGAGCTCATGTTAGTTCCGGTGCATACAACAGTAGGCTGCAGAACATCAACTAAAAATGTTACTGAAAGCTCAGTGACTCTAGGAAATATGACTAAATTTGAGGAGAAAAATACTTAATTTTCAGCTACAATGCTGCAAAAGGCATATGTATTTATTCTTCCTATAAAAACTTGATTGCCTTTATCTTGAAGCATAACAACAAAAACAGTCTCAGAAGAACATCCACATCAATTATATTCCATAGTCAGCACTTCTTGCGGTGCTTTTGATGTTCTGTGGCAAGAAAATAAGATAGTTGCAAACTGGCATGCTTGTTGAGTAGATTTAGATGCTTGAAGCATATGTAAAAAGAGGTTAAAGAGCTTGTTTTAACCCTGGGGCCTTGCTTTTTGAAACTGTTTCTTAAAATGGGAATTACTGAAAAACTGTAAGTCTTCCACTAAGAGATGACATTTCAAGCTTCGTTTCTAGTGACTAGTTTCAATTTCTGGTATATTAGAATACACAAATGTTCCGAATCACAAGTGTTAGTGGAAAATATCAGAAAATAAAACAGCCTTCTTTCTTACCATTATCTCCCAAGACAGGCAATCTTCTTTTTTGTTGTCAGTGTTGGCAGTTACCTTTTGTAGCAGACATTTATGGCGTCTTTAGAAACAGGAACTTAAATAAGGGTTGTGGCCATTAGTTGAACAGTTGACAATTTTTATTTGAGATGCAATGAAGAAGAATTCTAGTAGACTTGCTTACCAGAACACCTCTAGTACATTTATGATTTTTACATTAGAGGAACTGTGTGAATTTGAGACTGCAGAAATTCAAACTAACCCTTTCCCAAAGGAATTTCTCAGTTATGCTCTTGGGCTAGCACAGTAAGGAAGGCTGGAGAAAACAGGGCACGAAGCTGGTGAGGCTCTTTCTCCTGCTTGGTCATCCAGGGAAGCCTTTTACTGGAGAAGCATTTAAGTTTTATGAAGTGAGCAAGGAGGACTACAAAAGTTGGAATGTTAAACTAGAGTTACATGTGAAAAGGGACAGATGACAAGCTCCTCCAAGTAGCAATTTCAGTATTAGGCAATAAAAGCGTATTCCTGAAAACAGACAAAAATGAGTAAAATCTAGAAGAATCATTCTGCCAAGAAACGGCCACACCTTACACCAGACATCAACTTGGTGAAGTATTACAAAGAAAAGAGAGAACAGGAGAGCTGTTTATACTAGTGGTAATCTTTTGAACTCTGCTCTACAAAACAGAGCCCACCTAAAGTTATTATTAACTTGTACAGTACTTTTCATAGTTTTCATATGCTTTTCATAAAATGAAAACAAACCAGAAGAGTTTTGCACATTTTAGTGTAAAAGAAACTGCCTCCATTTGGCCTCTTCACTCAAAGAAAGTGAAGAACTTTCCTTTTTGCAGGATTAGCCATCAGTCAATCATGACATAATCAGAGCACTAAAGAATTTACAGAAAAGAGCTCTAAATGAAAGTGGAAGATCCACCCCCCCACACCCCAATAAAGATAATACTTAAATTTAATCTCCAGGTTAAACCTAGAATTCTCTAGATTTATGTGACACCTCATTCAGGACTTGAAAAGCACCGATACCTGAAAAGCCACAACAGTGTCTTTGAACACAGACTGAAAAAATATTTGAAAAGATTGAAAAAATTAAATACTGTAGCAGGCTGAAAGCTGCA